AAAACTTATCATGAAATTTTGTACAGACATTGCTAGGGGTTCAGAAAAGGACATAGGATACCTTTTGTCCATAAAACAAATACTGTTCCCAAAGGAATATAAAAATTAGTTTTATGTGATCGTCGATGATATTTGACACGTATCTAGGACACGCGAGCGAAGCCGCAACTAAAAACTTATCATGAAATTTTGTACAGACATTGCTAGGGGTTCAGAAAAGGACATAGGGTACCTTTTGTCCATAAAACAAATACTGTTCCCAAAGGAATATAAAAATTAGTTTTATGTGATCGTCGATGATATTTGACACGTATCTAGGACACGCGAGCGAAGCCGCAACCAAAAACTTATCATGAAATTTTGTACAGACATTGCTAGGGGTTCAGAAAAGGACATAGGGTACCTTTTGTCCATAAAACAAATACTGTTCCCAAAGGAATATAAAAATTAGTTTTATGTGATCGTCGATGATATTTGACACGTATCTAGGACACGCGAGCGAAGCCGCAACTAAAAACTTATCATGAAATTTCGTACAGACATTGCTAGGGGTTCAGAAAAGGAGATAGGATACCTTTTGTCCATAAAACAAATACTGTTCCCAAAGGAATATAAAAATTAGTTTAATATGATCATCGAGGATATTTGACACGTAACTAGGATATCAACGCGAGCGAAGCCGCAACTAAAAACTTATCATGAAATTTTGTACAGACATTGCTAGGGGTCAGAAAAGGACATAGGGTACCTTTTATCCATAAAAAATAGTGTTCCCAAAGGAATATAAAAATTAGTTTTATGTGATCGTCGATGATATTTGACACGTATCTAGGATATCAACGCGAGCGAAGGCGCAACTAAAACTTATCATGAAATTTTGTACAGACATTGCTAGGGGTTCAGAAAAGGACATAGGATACCTTTTGTCCATAAAACAAATACTGTTCCCAAAGGAATATAAAAATTATTTTTATATGATCGTCGATGATCATTGACAAGTGTTTAGGACTACAACATTCCACACATTAAACAAAAAGCCGATAAATAAATGCTTAATTTCTATGTTCAGTCAACGTTCTGCTCTGCCTGTATAGATGTTTATGTTTTAGCAAAAGTGTTAAATCAGAAACTTTAAAAACATGTAAATACATCGGCAACTTTGTCAGTCAGTCGGTGAGTCCATACTAAACAGCTGTGTATGCAAATTAAATTAAAGAGTAGGTTCATTTGAAATATAAAAATTAAACTTACTTTGAGAAATCCGTATGATCTGGCCAAAAAAGTTTTAGTAAAGTTTGTTAACAACCACAACATGTCGAAGACAAGTGAAAGAGAATAGTAAAAGGTATGCGTGGTCACGGGGTGGTGATATCACAGAGTAAATTGTCGCATTATGTTATTACGGACCAGTGAATTTCACAATGAGCCTGTTACATTGTATTTATTATTGTTAAACGAATAAGGACGGTTACGGTAGGGTACACACATGGATGCAAGTGTATGTTATAAATGCGATAGAATCCAAATCAAAAACCACCTTTATTACTATAATATAGTACTATTTATCGTTCGATACTACACCATAATTGTACTTAATGGTTAACTATTCAAACCTTATAAAGGATGGAAAGTTTTATTGCTTCATATTGAAGAATATTTTCAGATTATTTATCTATCGTATGTATCTGTCTTTCGAAAATGTATAATTTGATGAATGTGTAAAACGTATTCTTTCAACTATACAATTATCTGAAAATATCACCCCTTTTTCTGAAATCTGCTCTAAACTAACCGAACTTGTCAGTCTTTTGACTACCATAAACTTCATTCCTGTTTTCTATGTTTGTATCTCATCCCTATGAGTTTAATAAATCCAATTTAAGTTCATTAATTTAGATACAGATGTGGTANCTAAATAAAATATTGAAATAACGGGAAACCTTTCATGTAGGGAAGTTTCGGTTTCGGTTTAGAGATATATTAGAGATATATTAGAAGAAGATACAGGAATCGAAAAAGGTAGAAGAAGTACTGTTCGTAAATAGAAATACGTATAGAAAGAAGATTCGTATTGGAAGAAATGGTAGAACACCTTGTGAAACATGAAGGACTTGTTAAAGACGTATGGGAAGCAAAAACAGGATGAGGACGGACAAAGGGAGATCTCTCATTAGATTACTGTCCACAAGTAATAATTAAAGACGTGGAAAATGTTCCAGTCTTCGGGAAATATTACCGTAATTAAAAGTTGCGATAAACTTTTGTTTGGCGATAAACCGACGCCGCAGGGGCCCAATAAAAATTGCACTCAACTAGGAAAATTACCAATCTCTTATTTCAAAAGATGATAACATAACAAAACTCTGCTTCGCGCGGGAGACATTTATATCTATGTTTAATTAATTAATTAATTAATGTAAATCATCACCCGATAGAAACATGCTTCACGTGTCTCCAAAATTCACGAGATACTATTGACTTATAAACAAGTACATACACCCATTTACTTATGTATGTATCTACATGGTACTGGATAATGTATTGAATGGTGAAAATTCTTGCGACACCAAAACGTGATTGCTTTATTTATTTTAGTAACATATTATAATGTTTACAATTGAGATTAAAAAAAGAGGGTTATCGCTGTTATTAATAATTAAATGATAATTTATAAATTATCACTTCTGCATAATTTTTTAATAAGGTTATCCTGTTGTGGCGTCTGCACGGAAAAAATGAAAATTTACGTAAATATTAAAGCGATATTTACAATTTATCCCGGTAAACGAAAATAATAAAAATTACAGTTTAAACTGGAATTTGTAGAAATAAAATCCCAGCAGAAATAAATTTACTAGGTATTTTAGTTGATATTACTAATTAAATTGAAACATGAAATAATTTTTAAAAATATATGTCAAAATTGAGATTATTACAAGTTACCTAATAAATTCTACTATTTCTACGACAAATTCAGTCATTTACAGTCGAAAATTGTAGTTTTCGCTTTATCATAAAAATTTAGTTTTCTTTGTGTATAGATATATGTCTACTAGATAAATCCAATAAAAATAATTATTTTACCGAACTTTATGAGTATTTAATAAAATTAATGTAACGGTAGGGGTAAAAATTGCATTTTGTACATTTTGTTAAAGAAATTCATCCACTACATGGAGAAAATGGAAAACGAAAATTTACGTAAATATTAAAGCGATATTTACAACTTATCCTGGTAAACGAAAATAATAAAAATTACAGTTTAAACTGGAATTTGTAGAAATAAAATCCCAGCAGAAATAAATTTACTAGGTATTTTAGTTGATATTACTAATTAAATTGAAACTTGAAATAATTTTTAAAAATATATGTCAAAATTGAGATTATTACAAGTTACCTAATAAATTCTACTATTTCTACGACAAATTCAGTCATTTACAGTCGAAAATTGTAGTTTTCGCTTTATCATAAAAATTTAGTTTTCTTTGTGTATAGATATATGTCTACTAGATAAATCCAATAAAAATAATTATTTTACCGAACTTTATGAGTATTTAATAAAATTAATGTAACGGTAGGGGTAAAAATTGCATTTTGTACATTTTGTTAAAGAAATTCATCCACTACATGGAGAAAATGGAAAACGAAAATTTACGTAAATATTAAAGCGATATTTACAACTTATCCTGGTAAACGAAAATAATAAAAATTACAGTTTAAACTGGAATTTGTAGAAATAAAATCCCAGCAGAAATAAATTTACTAGGTATTTTAGTTGATATTACTAATTAAATTGAAACTTGAAATAATTTTTAAAAATATATGTCAAAATTGAGATTATTACAAGTTACCTAATAAATTCTACTATTTCTACGACAAATTCAGTCATTTACAGTCGAAAATTGTAGTTTTCGCTTTATCATAAAAATTTAGTTTTCTTTGTGTATAGATATATGTCTACTAGATAAATCCAATAAAAATAATTATTTTACCGAACTTTATGAGTATTTAATAAAATTAATGTAACGGTAGGGGTAAAAATTGCATTTTGTACATTTTGTTAAAGAAATTCATCCACTACATGGAGAAAATGGAAAACGAAAATTTACGTAAATATTAAAGCGATATTTACAACTTATCCTGGTAAACGAAAATAATAAAAATTACAGTTTAAACTGGAATTTGTAGAAATAAAATCCCAGCAGAAATAAATTTACTAGGTATTTTAGTTGATATTACTAATTAAATTGAAACTTGAAATAATTTTTAAAAATATATGTCAAAATTGAGATTATTACAAGTTACCTAATAAATTCTACTATTTCTACGACAAATTCAGTCATTTACAGTCGAAAATTGTAGTTTTCGCTTTATCATAAAAATTTAGTTTTCTTTGTGTATAGATATATGTCTACTAGATAAATCCAATAAAAATAATTATTTTACCGAACTTTATGAGTATTTAATAAAATTAATGTAACGGTAGGGGTAAAAATTGCATTTTGTACATTTTGTTAAAGAAATTCATCCACTACATGGAGAAAATGGAAAACGAAAATTTACGTAAATATTAAAGCGATATTTACAACTTATCCTGGTAAACGAAAATAATAAAAATTACAGTTTAAACTGGAATTTGTAGAAATAAAATCCCAGCAGAAATAAATTTACTAGGTATTTTAGTTGATATTACTAATTAAATTGAAACTTGAAATAATTTTTAAAAATATATGTCAAAATTGAGATTATTACAAGTTACCTAATAAATTCTACTATTTCTACGACAAATTCAGTCATTTACAGTCGAAAATTGTAGTTTTCGCTTTATCATAAAAATTTAGTTTTCTTTGTGTATAGATATATGTCTACTAGATAAATCCAATAAAAATAATTATTTTACCGAACTTTATGAGTATTTAATAAAATTAATGTAACGGTAGGGGTAAAAATTGCATTTTGTACATTTTGTTAAAGAAATTCATCCACTACATGGAGAAAATGGAAAACGAAAATTTACGTAAATATTAAAGCGATATTTACAACTTATCCTGGTAAACGAAAATAATAAAAATTACAGTTTAAACTGGAATTTGTAGAAATAAAATCCCAGCAGAAATAAATTTACTAGGTATTTTAGTTGATATTACTAATTAAATTGAAACTTGAAATAATTTTTAAAAATATATGTCAAAATTGAGATTATTACAAGTTACCTAATAAATTCTACTATTTCTACGACAAATTCAGTCATTTACAGTCGAAAATTGTAGTTTTCGCTTTATCATAAAAATTTAGTTTTCTTTGTGTATAGATATATGTCTACTAGATAAATCCAATAAAAATAATTATTTTACCGAACTTTATGAGTATTTAATAAAATTAATGTAACGGTAGGGGTAAAAATTGCATTTTGTACATTTTGTTAAAGAAATTCATCCACTACATGGAGAAAATGGAAAACGAAAATTTACGTAAATATTAAAGCGATATTTACAACTTATCCTGGTAAACGAAAATAATAAAAATTACAGTTTAAACTGGAATTTGTAGAAATAAAATCCCAGCAGAAATAAATTTACTAGGTATTTTAGTTGATATTACTAATTAAATTGAAACTTGAAATAATTTTTAAAAATATATGTCAAAATTGAGATTATTACAAGTTACCTAATAAATTCTACTATTTCTACGACAAATTCAGTCATTTACAGTCGAAAATTGTAGTTTTCGCTTTATCATAAAAATTTAGTTTTCTTTGTGTATAGATATATGTCTACTAGATAAATCCAATAAAAATAATTATTTTACCGAACTTTATGAGTATTTAATAAAATTAATGTAACGGTAGGGGTAAAAATTGCATTTTGTACATTTTGTTAAAGAAATTCATCCACTACATGGAGAAAATGGAAAACGAAAATTTACGTAAATATTAAAGCGATATTTACAACTTATCCTGGTAAACGAAAATAATAAAAATTACAGTTTAAACTGGAATTTGTAGAAATAAAATCCCAGCAGAAATAAATTTACTAGGTATTTTAGTTGATATTACTAATTAAATTGAAACTTGAAATAATTTTTAAAAATATATGTCAAAATTGAGATTATTACAAGTTACCTAATAAATTCTACTATTTCTACGACAAATTCAGTCATTTACAGTCGAAAATTGTAGTTTTCGCTTTATCATAAAAATTTAGTTTTCTTTGTGTATAGATATATGTCTACTAGATAAATCCAATAAAAATAATTATTTTACCGAACTTTATGAGTATTTAATAAAATTAATGTAACGGTAGGGGTAAAAATTGCATTTTGTACATTTTGTTAAAGAAATTCATCCACTAC